CCAAACCGACAAAACCTAGTCTTGCCAAAGTCCAAAGCCTTAAAGGAATCTAAATCTAATCTGAAACTAACCCAAACTATATTCTATGAATTCGACAAACAAGGCAAAACACTAAGAGAAACCAAACCCGAAAGCTACATACAAAGAACCAAAATAGATCAACCAAGAAATCCAAAGAGCAGGTAGGGTCCGATGCGCCAAAGAACAAGAGACGAGATGAAACCTATGAAACCAAACTCGTCCAAGCTCAAGAGATAACAACAACACCAGGAGAGTTGTAAGCTTGATCTAAATAGCCCAAAGCAGCAGCACTAACATCATCACCGCCACTCCAAAGATACAAACAAACCGAATCAATTCAAGCTCAAGGAAAAAAACTTTGACATCTCCAAAGGGATACGACAAAGAGGACCACCAACACTTTACCACGGGCCCTCGCCCGCCAACTTCAGCCTTGGCCATGTCCTCGCAAGATAAAGGCTGAAGATCTACACCACTGTACAGACTTGATTAAACCCACAGGATCCAAAGGGAAGAACTAGTAGATGCTCGTCAACAATGTACCGTCAACAATGTTCCATCCAGAAACTTAAAACCAAACCGAAATGCATCCACCTCCGAAGGACGAAACCACGCAGCAGAGCAAGGAAACCAGAATCTTACACCTAAAATGCCAAATCCAATCGAATAGAGCTCTACCAAACTACTAAGAACCAAACTAACAGAAGCAACAATCTCTACTACCATAACAAGGACCACAAAATCGAAAGCAAGAACTCGACCGCATCGGGTCTAACCTCACCAGAACAAAGGTCTGATTGCAGTACACCACGGACGATGAACCCCATCCACGACCAACGGCCACACAAGGAGAGAAAACCGGCGAGAAATCCAGATATGAGCGTATCCCGGGACTGTTCGAACCGTCGACCTCACGACCATGGCTGCGGATCCCACATCCACCACCATATACCCGGACGGATCCAACCCCTATCTGAAACCACGAGCCCGAGCTCGAGCCTCCGAAGCGAACCTCAACCCAGTAGAAGAAACTTCGATATGCATCTAGAAACTATTAACCGAGAAATACAGAAAACAAATCCTTAACACCAGGGTCCGACGGCTGTGCTAAGAAAGCCACCGTCGCCGGACCTAACACACCAGATCTGCAAATTTGTACTGTAGCGGCCGCTCCTTGTTTCTATCGCCAAGTCCTATCTATCATCCGTTTCCGACTTTTATTTAATTTTTTTTTTTCATGTCTTTAACGTCACATTCGGTTTTTATTAATCTTACACATTTATTAAGAAAAAACGTAATTATATGTAATCTAAATTTTAAACAAGCAAGAGTAGGTTAAAAACAAAAAGTTGCAAAAAGTAAAAGTATCACCTAAAGATATACTTATATATAAAAAAAGGGAAAGAATACAATTAGTAAACTAGTATTTATATTAGAAAACTAGTCTGAATTTTTTTCGTATTAACGAGGATTCTTTTTATTCGCTATAAGATGATAATTTAGGTAGATTTTGGTAGTAGGCACTAAAACACACCGGAGAAACTCTTTAGCAATCGCAAAGAATGAACTCTTTTCATATTAATTTAGTGACCTAGGTAGATTGATTTGCGGACTTTTGATAACCACCATAATATCGCTATATATCCTTTCGTCTACATATAATCATTGGTCTCCTTCGGTTCATCGATTGGGTTAGATATGTAAATTTGTCTATCAAGTGGATATTAATTAATATCTACTACTAACTTTTTGAATAAAAAGTGGACTAAACCATTAAACATATGATATTAACTTGGAAAATATCTCAAGTAGCCTAAAAAGAAAAAAAATATCCTACAGACTTTAAAGAAACAAAAATGTTGGCCACACAAAAAAGAGGGGTAGAAAAATATCACACAGACAAAAAATATCTGTTTGATAAAGGTTGGTGTTTAAGTTAGGCCAAAATATCTTTACATTTTATTCCTTAAACCAAAAGTCTCACTTTCACACTCGCGCGTGCTTTATCAGCCAAACAAATCAAACACATTAAACTTGATTAAAAATTAAGGAGTGTTATTTGGAA